GCTTCAGCTTGCAAAGCTACAAGACGTTTCTCACATTTCCGTGTGAGTATAGTACTTGTTTTCTCAGCTTTATCTTTCCTCTCTGTGAACCATTGTTGCATCCTTTCACGCAAAAAATCAACAAGTTTAGAGACTGAATACTCTCTTGCACATACATTGACTTTGTTCATAGACTCGGCACAATCGGAGGTCATAATATTATATCTCTTTGGTCCAGAAATTACTTTTGACCATGTGTTAGCACCTATTTTGTCTAGCCAAGTCCTTATCCTGGAGTTTTCAGAATCCAACATGGATAAGTAGTCATCATATTCTTTAACAGTTGCTGTCATATAGGCAGCTTTGAACTTCCATCCCAAAGTAGCTGCAGATCCTCTAAATTTGTGTGTCATGTTACGACGCAGATGAGCAACACAAAAACCATGGCTAGCATGTGGCAAGATTTCAGAAACAGCCTTTATAAGACATTTATGCCTATCAGATACTACACAAAGATCATGTATGTACTGTATTGACTGACAGACTTTGGATAAAAACCATTTCCAAGAAGATTTTGTTTCAGACTCACAAATACCAAATGCAATAGGAACTATGTGATCATTGGCATCTTGACAACAAGCTGTAAGAGGAGTGCCTTTATAGTAAGCCTTGAGGAATGAACCATCCAATATAAGAACAGGTCTATAGTAAGGCCAAGCTTCTATCCATGCTCTGAATGACATAAAAAAGGTACAAAATGCATCATCCTTCCCTGTGACTAGATCAAACATAGAGCCAGGATTCGCCATCTCAAGCACATAAGCCATAGAAGGCAAAACCTGATAGGATTCAAGATCAGAACCAAATTGCAGCTGCATTGCTTTCTTCTGTGCTTTCCAAGATTTTTTGTATGACATGGAAATTCCATACCGCATACTCATGTCTTCACGAATTTGTTTTGGTGGGTACGGTTTATTGGAAGCATCAAGGTATTTGTGTGCAATAAGTTTTGCTATCACAGTAGCAGTTGCCTGTCTATGTTTGCCTTGTCTATAATCAATAGAGCATGTGTGTTCTGGACAGAATCTAAAATGACAAAACAATGGCATTTTTATACAAGTGAGTAATATACATTTGGCATTCTTGGACAAGAGTGTCACCAATACATGGCATTCTGATAAACAAGAATTAACAACGAAGTCAAACAAAAAGAATGAAATAAGAAGTTACCTTCTGATTTGAAACATTTGTACGCCAGGTAGTCTTACAGCTCGAACAGTCCAACGACATTTTGGATCTAAGCAAATAACATGTAAAGATATTTTCCTAGAGGTCTTTGTTCTGTATTGAAAGTGGTTTGTGATAGCATACATCTTCAGATGGTGGATAAGGTCTGTTTTACTTTTGTAAATAGCATATAGAACAAGACAAGTAGGATGGGACTGTATGATGACTTCGAAATTGTGGAGAAATGACAGTGACTGAGATGATTCTATTACTAAGCCATCTGACATGTCATCCATGCCTTCATCACTGTCTTCAGAAGTTTCAATTTCTACAGCTCTAGACACAGTGTTACTACAAGAAGCAACATCTTGAGAGTGTCTACCAGAGATGTTAACATTTTCAGTGCAAAAAGATGAGCTATGATCAAAAGAGAGTGCAGGTGAGGAGACATGTTGTTGGGAAGAAACAACAACATTCTCATCAACACAAAGTGAATGAGTTGAAGAAATGACAACATTTTTAGCTGAAGGAAAAGCAGAAGGTTCAACACCAACAAAAGATGGATATGAAGAAGAGATAGGATAAAACTCAACACAAAGTGGATACTTTAGAAAATCTGGTTGAAGAGACTTGATATAAAGATAACATGTTAAGGTAGATTGATCATTTATAGTTACAGGAGGAGGGAATCCATCTCGCATATAAGAAAGCCTGAAATTATGATTAGGTTTGTACTGAGAAAGGATGGCAGTCAACATATCAACAAAACAAGCATATTGAACACCATAGTTAACATGAAGCCCACATGTGTGCACATTGGTGAACACATAGTCAGAATCCCAAAAACCATCCACCTTGACCATAACAAGTAAAACAGGATCCATTGTGCAAAAAGGTTCCTAAAAAATTGAAGGAAAAACAAATATTTCAGTATAACAGAAGCATGAAAGAAGAAAGTTGGTTATACTAAAATGACAGTTTGCGTGAATATGTGACAGTCTATAAGGATGTATAAATAATATTTACCACACAAAATGGCAAATCAGCAAACAATACAAAATGACAGTTAAAAATACAAAAGAGCCAGTTATGAAGAACCTAATCTAGTACTTACAGCAAGACACAATTTAAACACCAACATTAAACGCAGAAATAGCAACATACGAAGAAATTTCATGAAATAAAAGCATTGATAGAGTTGATGAAAAGCAAACGAGCTAAATTATTAACAATAATGAATTTGAAATCGATTATAAAAATTTTGAATTTTTTTCTAATATTGTAGAAGCAAAATACAGAGGAATAAAACAGATTGATGATTGCAGAACGACATGTGTACAACACACGAATTGACATATTCTAGAAGAAAAATGAGAGCAATTGCAACATAAATTTAACCAATGGCGGTGAAGAATTCTTGAAGAAGGACTATACAGGAAAGTTTCGGTGAACATACTCTGCAAACGAACAAACAATGGCGGAAGAAGATGAATGCAGAGGAGAAGGACGAACAGCTCAAACAAATCGCGAAGAAGATGATTGACGAAGAAGAAGAATATCGCGAAAAAAACAGAGTACGTCAACTGAATTCCCAATTGATTTAGGAAACTAATTTTCTGGAAAGAATCTCGATCAAAGAGGGAAACTAACGGAAACTCATAAATGCTTTCACACATCGATTACCGAAAATAGCCGGTAACACCTGCGGTTTAATGGCAAACATAGGCAGGAGTATTTTGGATATTGCTTAAAGCGTTAAACATACCTATAGAACGGTATAACTCCTATTAGGGGAATAAAACATAGTAAGTCCTATTATGGCTTTTTAAGTAAGTTTTAGTCCTATTATGGACAATTTTTTCAATACTTTATTTAGTATATGCCCATCCACCACATGATTCACGAACATGCATATTTATATCTGATCTGAGTCCATCGTTCGTGTTATATGCTCATTACACTATATTAATGTGCTCACTTATTAATTATCACGTAATGTGCACGGTCATAAAAACAGGGCCGGGGCCAGAACACTGGGCCGGTACAAAGAATATATTTGGAAAAAAATTTACACAGAATTTTTTACACTAAAAATATGGACATTTTTTAAAGTTAGGCTGGGCCTGGGCCAGGGTTGGCCCTCCCCTGACCCCGCCCTGGAGATAATATCCATAAATAAATATGGGGCATATAAGATCTATAAATAAGATGATTTGTCCTTTATAGTTGATAATCACGCCAAACGTTGGTAATGTTAAATCAAATTACATTTGTTAAATATATAAATACAAATTAATATAGCCTATAATATTATTATGACTTGAAGTTGATCGAAATCATATAATATCAGAGTCAATGAGAGTCAAACAGGTGGTGGAGCAAAAAAACGGTTATTTACACCCACGTAGTATGTATTAAAACATTCCAATGATATTGTACAAACGGCTATAATATCAGAAAATATTAACCTCACCCTCCGCAAAACGGATATTAGCTCTAAATAAGAATAAAAGAACTAGTAGGACTAAATAAAATATTCTCAGAACAGTAGAAATATGTGACTCTTCTTCCTATTCTACCCGGTCTCTTTCTACAATTTCTAATAGGTTTATTCATTAATAAGAAAATCATAATAAAATATAAAAAATAATAAAAACATTTATAAATTATTAATAAGAACGGGAAAAAATAAAATAAAATAAAAAAATAATACTTCCTCCGTCCCAAAAATACTTCTCTGTTTGACTTGACACGCTTATTAAGAAAGTGAAAATAAAGTGAGAATGTATGTTTGTGATTGAGTAAGAAAAAGGTAAATGAATGTTATCTACACAAAACTTTCCAAAAGGGGAAATGAAAAGAATTTTGGGACATCCCAAAATGATGAGTGAGAAGAATTTTTTGTGACAGAGGGAGTAATAAATATTTATAAAACTTAAAAAATCTATAAAATAAAATAAAATAAAATACCTAAGAAATATTAAAATGTCAGCATCACAAGCTCCGATCGTCGAAAAATAAAATGTCATCATGTGTAAAACATGTCATATTCCTCTAAAAATTCATGAATATATATTTGAAAATATCCATCTTTCTTTTCAAAATCACCATCACGATGACATTTTTTCTCCAACTACACATTTTTAGATCATGTGAAATAAATCCAAAATATAAATGTTTCTTGACATTAAATAATTTAAATTACACAATTCATTTACTTCTTACTTTCTAAAAATAGTTTATTACATAAATAATAAACTTTAACTTATTTTAGCATTAATATAAATATAATATGCACCATATATATGAATTAGCAATATAATATTTACAAAACTCCATGTGACGCACGAACACCCTCCTTGATAGACAAAAATTGTAATTCAAAAGCCAATTCTTTATTTCAATAAGATTCAATAAAACGTATTGATGGACGTGTACCTTTTAAAGTTTTTATCTTGAAATAATTCGATAAAATGTTATACGTATATCCTTTTTTGTTTTCAAATAATTTTCCTTTGATTTGTTATTTCTGACGCTTTAATCTATCAATACTTTTTGAGGAGCACTTCAATTATAAAATCATATTTTCCATTGTCTAAACATAGAATGTTATAGATTTAAATGTTACCGTGTATGTATTTATGCATTTTTTTGAATAAAATATAGCCGCAGAGTCCTACACTAGCGAAAAAAATTTGCTACACAACATTGTGTAAAAAACTCACCCGCTACACTAGTGGAAAAAATTTCACCGAAAAAATTCTACCCCCTTGAAGATTCATTAATATAATTTTTTTGGAAGCAGGTAGCTTATATTAATAAGAAAGAACGCAAACATGAAACAATCAGACAAAGAACTCATTGTCTAATGTCCGCCCTTGAACAAGACTTAGAATCTGCCACCTCGAACGAAGCAACCAGATTCGCTGATCCTGAATTGGGCTTACTTGAGCCAATGACTAGTAAATTAAGTTCCTCATCACCTGTCTTATGTTCTTGAGTCTTAACAAAACAAAAACCAATGACAATAAAAAACACACGATGTCCAGCGCAAAAAGCAATAAAAATAAAACCAAGACTAAAAGAAGTAGAAACTTTAATTCTCGGGTTTTGGCGGGTTTGGAAATTCCAGCCCGCCTCCTCCCTGTTTTTTATCCTTCCAGAACCATGGCGTTCTCTCCTAGTTGCTCCAGCTCTTGCTCCTCTTCTTCCCATGTCCGCCTCCTCTTCTGCTCTCCCGTTCCACTGTTGTTAACCATTACTTCCGCGGTCTTAGAGTCATCCCCACCTTCCTGATTCTGGTTTTTCACATGGTGTTGCCCCTGTTCCTGAACGCCACTGAGGTTCATATGCATCCCCTTTTGGTCTCTTCCTACCTCTTTCTCACCTACAATCCATTTACCGTCTATAGTTGGACGGGACCCCCTCCCCCCCACGCCCGAAGCCATGGGTCAAAGGATCTCACAGTTTTTGTACCACCTTTGTCATACAGCGATGGACAGAATTTTTCAGCGTGACCAATGACTCCGCAGGCAAAGCAGAAGCTAGGTAGTTTCTCGTATTTGAAATCTACCCAATACCCTTCTCCGCTACTCTTTTTCAAAGTAGTACCCACCTTTAAGGGTTTCCTCACATCCATCATAACCCTGACCCTCATGTAGGCTTCCCATTTTTCATCGATCTGTTTATCATCCCGGGATATAAATTTCCCCAAATGGTTCCCAATTTTACAAGCATAACCCAGATTTGAAAATCCATAAAGAATATTATGAATCTGAACCCAAAAGTCAGTCGTATCTAAAAGTATCCTCTGAGGCATATCATCCTGCTTAATAGCTTTTAACACTAACACATTCTGGTCAAACTACCAGGATCCATTATTCAACACACGATTCATATCAATTTTGTGGTAAAAAGTAAATAAGTACATCTTCTTCCCAATCTCCTGAATCAGGACGCCTTTTCCAGGACGCCAGAGAGACGCAATTAGATCACGAAAATTTTGAAATTTCACCACTTTGCCGGTGAGAATCGTGCCGACCACGGGAAAAGACCCCACTCCCTTGCTCGCCGCTTCGGGATCGATTTCCTCGATGTCCTTGTCGTCCAACAGCAGCTCGTCCCCTGAACTCCACAACCCCAGTCTGTCGTATTGATCGCCGCCGCTGAAGGTTCACCCTCCTCTTCGTAAGACTCCCTCATCGCCTGATATATTGCTCTGCCGCCGCCCCACACGCTCGTCTACCCAGCTGATGTCCTTGATGCCGTGTTGGTTGCCATCCGTCTGTTGCCGTTGCCGCACTCCTTCGGCGGAATTCACTCAAACCCTACGAAGAGGGAGAGGCCGCCCGTGTTTTACGTATTATTTCTTTCATCTCACTATGAATCATTATTATAGTTGAAAATTCTCTGATCATATACATTTGATTCCAATAATATAACTTGGCATCTATAGGAGCTTTATTTATGTCAATAAAAATCCAACCTTGTTTGATCCATCCATCGACATGCTTTGATGAGAAGTCACTCGTTCTGCATCCTTTGTCTTCCCTAGCTATACACATTTAGATTCTCCTTTTTCATTTTACTATTTAAATATGAAATACTAACGTTAATTTGTAATGGATGCACACGATATAATATTGAAAGGTGCAAAGAAATTATTGATATGAAAATATCACTCATGTGATTATATTAAATATATAAAGTGATTGTTGAATCCATCTATTGAAATAATGTACTTTATTACTAAGCGTGCAAATTAGTTATTTTTTCAAAAAAGAACATAATTTATACAGTGTAATATTTAAGTTGTTGCAGTGGTTGTAGATGGTAATTCAACGTCCGAAATGATATTCCTCTATACATATTAAAATTAAAGCTACATTAAGGATATTTGTAATTGGACTAATTTCAATCTTAGACCAGATCATACAAGAATTGACCCATTATATCATGTTTTGACAATTGTAAAATAGGACCAATAACACAAATAGGACCAATAGTTAACCTAGACAAAAAAGAGACTAATTGTTTGTGAACTGGCAAAAATACCCTCCCTATAATCTCAAATCAGAACATCGATCTTCAATCCCCTGTCGACATCCTTCGGTCTGCTTCATCGCTTCCAAAACCAGGGAGTCGCCAACCTAGTCATGGAATCGCCGACCTAGCCATGGAATCGTCGCCGACCTAGCCATGGAATCGTCGCTGATGGGGGCAACGATAGGGGAAAAGGTTGGGGACGGCGGGTGGCTAGGGAAGAAGGTTAGGGTGGGGGAAGTTGGGGTAGTGGTGGCAGCCGGCTGTACAGGGTGAGGGGGCTGGTTCGAGGTTGGGCTGGTGGGACGTGGGGGTAGGGGGCTGGCCGTGGAGTGGCGGCGGATGGCAGAGAGGGCGGCATGGGTGGTCACTGGAGTGGCGGCGGGGGGCAGCATGGAGTGGTCACTAGGCAAGGCGGCAAACGTGGTAACTGTCGGGTGTAATAGGTGGTCACTGGTCGGGGCGGCAGGGGTGATAATTGGTCGGGGCGGCAGGGTGGTAATTGACCGAACTGGCAAGGGTGGTAACTGGCCGAGGAGGCAGGTGTGGTAACTGGATGGGGCAGCAAAGGTGGTAACTGGACGGGGCAACAAAGGTGGTAACTGGCGGGGCAGCGGCAGTGGTAAGGGACGGTGTGGTGGTGTCGGTAAAGGGCAGAATAATGCAGTAGGGCGCCGGACGGAAGGTGGTAACCAGACGGGTGAATGTAGCATGTAACTATCACTGAAGCTTGTAATTATATAATTGTAATGTTAGTCACTAGAATATTGGTCACCTTATAATTGGTCATTGTAGCGGGTTAGCTAGGTTAATGAGGGTGTAATTGTCTTCTTACCTCTTTTTAGTCACATTTCTGGAAATTTAAAAAAGGGTCATTTTTTGTTCACGCGTCAATTTTTAGTAATATTGATATTCTAACCCCTAAAAAAATTTCAAATCAAATTAAATCAGACTAGCCTTAAAACGGAATATCCTAGAGACTAAAAAATTCTTGTTGTAAAATGAAGAAGATACAGACTAGATTTAAGAGATAGATATATAAATAAAACTCTCTCAATTACTTCTTCTTAATATTTGAAGTTTTCTGAATTTCTGAGATTGTGAGTGAGTTTACAATGAATGAAACAAACCCTATTTATACTAGCCAAGCTTAGGGATGAATCATCTAGGAATGATTCTACATAATTTGCTGGCAGTATTGAATCTAGCCATGTGTGTGATTACAAGGATTTGTGTTTGCTTAGTGTCCTGATTACAAGGATGAATATTCACACTTGTCAATTTGGTGGTTTTACAACACTCCCCCTTGAATATTCATCCTTGAAAATGTATTTGTAATTTTAAAAACTTATTGTGATAACGTGTGCGAAAGTTAAGGGGTAGAGATTACGACTTATAATGTCGTTGTATTTGGATGTACTGTCTCGTTAAAAACCTTATCAGGAAAAACCCAATGGGATAAAAACCTGATGAAAGAAAAAAGAGTGTAGTGCATTCAAATACTCCCCCTGAACTTAGGCTAATTTTTTAAGGCGGCACATGCCGATTTTCAGTACAAGTTCTATGAACTTCTTCGGGGGTAAAGATTTGGTGAAGAGATCAGCCGGATTTTCACTGGATCTGATTTGTTGAATGTTGATCGTCCCTTCTTTCTCCAAGTCATGAGTAGAGAAGAACTTTGGTGATATATATGTGTTTCGTTCTGTCTCCTTTGATGTAGCCTTCTTTAATCTGAGCTATGCACGCAGTGTTGTCTTCATAGATCATAGTCGGGTGACAAGTAATAGGCTTCATATCGCATTCATTTTGGAAGTGTTAAATCATAGACCGCAACCACATACATACATTCGCTTCCGGTTTCATATAATGCAATTAACTCTGAATGATTTGATGATGTAGCTGTCAATGTATGCTTCATAGATCTCCATGATTTTGCATGAGTAAATACGTACCCGGTTTGTGATTTTGCCTTTTGAGGATCTGACAACTATCCAGCGTCTGCATATCCGATTAAAGCAGCTTTTGCCTCTTTGTGGTAGAAAAAGCCGAGATCAACTGTACCACGTAGATAACGGAATATGTGCTGGATCTCGTTCCAATGACGTCTTGTTGGGCATGAAATGTACCTAGCTAATAAATTTACAGAAAATGCAATATCTGGTCTAGTATTATTAGCTAAATACATTAAAGTTCCAATAGCACTCAGATATGGTACTTCGGGACTGAGTATTTCTTCGTCGTCTTTTCGGGGACGGAATGGATCATCGTGTATGTTGAGAGATCGAATGACCATTGGTGAAGTCAAAGGATGAGCTTTGTCCATATAGAATCTCTTCAACACTTTCTCGGTGTAATTGGATTGGTGGATGAAAATTTCATTCTTCAAATGCTCAATTTGAAGTTCGAGACAAAATTTGGTTCTCCCGAGATCTTTCATTTCAAATTCTTTCATAAGATATTTTGCAGTATTTTCAATCTCATCGGGAGTTCCAATAATATTTAAGTCATCAACATATACTGCAATTATGGTGAATCCCGAATTTAATCGCCGAATGAAAACACATGGACTAATTGGATCATTCTTATATCCTTCTTTAAGAAGGTATTCACTGAGATGATTTTACCACATTCGTCCAGATTGTTTTAGCCCATACAATGACTTTTGTAGTTTAATCGAAAACATTTCTCGAGGTTTCGAGTTATAAGCTTCAGGCATTTTAAATCAACCGGGAACTTTCATATAAATGTCTGTATCTAGTGAACCGTATAAATATGCGGTCACTACATCCATTAGGCACATTTGCAGCCTTTCAAAAACAGACATGCCAATGAGAAACCTTAATGTAGTTGCATCAACTACTGGAGAATAAGTTTCTTCATAATATATTCCCGGCATTTGGGAAAAACCTTGGGCAACAAGTCGGGCTTTATATCTTACGATTTCATTCTTCTCATTGCGTTTACGCACAAATACTCATTTAAAGCCCACTGGTTTTACGACTTTTGGCGTAGGGACTATCGGTCCAAAAACATCACGTTTTTCAAGTGATTTTAATTTTAATTCAGCCTGAATAGTTGCATTCCATTTTGGCCAATCATGTCGTTTTCGACATTCTTCAATTGATGTTGGCTCATTGTCATTGTTTTCATTCATAACATTCATGGCAATGGTATAGACAAATATCTCATTAATATCAACATCTTTTCGATTCCATTGTATTCCAGTAGAAACGTAGTTTATTGAAATTTCATAATTATCAACGTTTCTATCGTTATTTGGAATATCTTCCTCGTTTAAGGAAGTTGGATCATCATTTGAGATGTTTGTTTTGTCAATATCATTTTCTATGCCAGTATTTTCAAATTATTCATTTTCTTGTTCAGAAGGATGAACATCTTTGACATCACAGATTAATTCCTGTCTTTTAGTTTTTCTTGATTTTATGTCTTTTGATCCAAGTGGCCTGCCATGCTTTTTGCGTATAGAATAATCATTTGCAAGAGATTTTTTAGAATTCTCTTGTGATACCTTGAAAATTTGAAATAAAAATAAATAAATAAATAAATCAGATAAGTTATATCTGATAAATCAAATGAAAGTAATATAAAAATATTTTGTATTATACTTGGTGTATAAAAATATATGCATGCTACATGCAATAAAATTAAACACTTATGTGGCATCGAAAAAAAAATCAGATAAAATATAGATGACGGAATAAATAAATAACGAAATAAATAAATAAATAAATAAAAATAGTAAGAATATTAAAAATTACTAATAATAGCATCAAATTAATAAATGAAAATATCAGATCATAAAACAATGACACGTGCTAGGATCACCTACCAAATAATGTACATACATTATATACATATTTTTACATATATAATTATATATATTTATATGTAAAAATTAAAATAAAAGAAAAAAAAAAAAAAAATTAAACATCATCATAGATGGGAATCAAATCATGAATCAATACACTGTTGGAGGAAAATAGGCCGGATAAACCTGCAAAAGGCGTTAGAAAAATAATATAGCTCGAGTCGCGTGAACGCTGTCCTCAAGAAAGTATTTCCGACTAGCGAAAAGCTTTCCCCAAGATAAAACGAGCTCTTCGGCTTACGCCGGTAACAGAACAACGAGAGTATAAACTATTAATCCAGCAAAATGAAAAGGTTGAGACAAAAAAAAATATTTTTTTTTCTCCTAAGAATGAAGCAAGACAGCCGACTTTATACTGGAGGATTTCCAACGTTGCTAATCGATTTGCATGCCAGGTAGAAACCGTTTAATAAAATAAACGTTCATATTGATTATCAACGTTCCAATATTAAAGGATACGGAACGATTAGAGTCATTAGACAGTTGGGGTATTAAAATTGCACGTTAATAATAATGAAAGCCATTAGCTCATTATCCACTAAGGTAGTAGCTCTTGCATTTTAAAATCTTTGAGTGCATTTTAAAATCCACTAACGTTCCATGTGCATTTTAATTTTTGATTAGCATGTAACGTATCTATTTGCACTATTGATAAAATCAAAATGTTTTAAAATAATTATAAAAAAAACAAGTAATGTTTTATTCATTTGAAATACTCTCAATTTTTCCAACAATCCCCCACATATTTCAAATGAATAATTTTTTTTTTTTTTTTTTTTTTTTATAGTTTAGAAAATTTCTGCTGGATTAAAGGAATGAGACTTTAAGTTTGGTGTCCGTAGACTTGAAACCCAACCGAGACGATTAAGTCTTAATAAACCGAGCTTTTGGTGAAATCTATAGTTTCTTGAAACCAACAAGCTACTATTGGTTAATCAGGGTCTTAACGGTCATGTCTCACCCCGCACAATTTCTCGTTATTACGCCGTTGTGCGCCGTAAGGCCATGCGCGTGCTTGGTGTTCATGAGTGCTCTAGAAGTTTTGTCATGCTTCATGGAGGCGGCCCCACCTCACACTCATATAGGTGATATCATCTAGTGTGTACCGCTTTTGCACACCACCCTAAAATTCAGAGCTATGATAATCATTAAGAACTTCTAGTTCACTCTCACAGAGAATGCGGTTTCTAGCCTATATCTCACATCATGGAAATGGGCAAATTTAGTTAGGCTAGCAGAACTAAATGGAGGACTTGTTATTACCCATTTGAACTTGCTTCATGGGATCTCCAATCACACAAGTTGGGTTCCCATCCCCATTTGTTTCAAAGTGACACTAGTCCCATTTCCTTCGATGTTTCGGTTATCATTTTTCACCCTAGGGATTCTGTCAAAGGAGTAGCTAATTCCTTCTGACTTCACAAAATTAATGGAAATAATTCCATTGTCAAACATCATTGCACCACTTTTAAGGGTGAATGGATATCCACTATTTTAATTTATCTCATTTGAGTATACTCAGATGCCGTCGTTGTATCCCCGGCAATACAACGGATAACTCTCAACAAAATATACCATCGATGTGACCCTCTAGTACATCGGATAATTATCAATAAAATATATACCATCATTGTATCATTATAGTACAATGGATAATTCTCATATAACATCATTGTACCGCTCTAGAACAATGAATTTTTCTCAATAAAACATATCATCGTTGTATCAATAGATTACAACGGATAATCTCAAAAAAATACCTTAATTAATGGTACGTCTCAAATATCTCAATAACCGCCTCAAC